ATTCTATTCTATTCTATTCTATTCTATTCTATTCTATTCTATTCTATTCTATTCTATTCTATTCTAAAACATAGCAGTAGTAGCATGAACTGCCATAATTTTTTAAGGTTTAAATTGTTTTAGACAACTGTAATTTACTTTGATCTTGTTCCCACTTGACTAGCTGTCAGCTCCTCATTCTGGTTAAAATAAACTCTGTTTATCCGAAACTGGTTAGTTTCAAGAGCTATCAGCAACAAGATGAATTGTTCATAATGTTTTTCCAGAAACCGCTAATTATGTGCCTAAATTGATGTTTCTATCTTTTTGCTACAGATGCATTAACAGCCTGTGAATCCAGCCAGTTCCAGTGTGGGACTGGTAAATGCATCACAATGAGATGGGTGTGTGACGGCATGGATGACTGTGGAGACGGCACAGATGAACTTCCTTCTGTCTGCTGTGAGTAATGAGTGACTTCAAGCTGGATTTGTTATGGCTTTAATTTTTGTAAATCCTATTTGATTTATTAAATATGAAATAAGTAATTTTTAAATGTTTTCTGTGTAATTTCAACTCCAGTGGTGAAGACATGTAAGCCAACMGACTTCAGTTGCGCAGACCGCCATAACAACTGTGTACCGAGCAGCTGGCGTTGCGATGGAAAAGCCGACTGTGAGAACGGAGCTGATGAGGAGAATTGTGGTAGGCTAAGAATGACTTCTTTTAGATTTGACACTTCTTTGTTTTTGCAGCTGCTCTGATCGTCCTGTCATCAATCTTCTGTCTTAGCTCCCAGGCAGTGTACAAACTCTGAGTTCCGCTGCAAGAACGGCCAGTGCATTTCCTCCACCTTCGTGTGCGACCAAGACACAGACTGTTACGATGGCAGCGACGAGCTTTCCTGTCCAGCCGTCACCTGCAAGTCTTCGTCCTTCCAATGCAACAACACAGTTTGCATTCCCCGCCTGTGGGCCTGCGATGGTGACCGCGATTGCCTCGACGGATCCGACGAGTGGTCGGAGAACTGTAAGCAGCAGGCCCGCACAACTCCCGCCGCTCCGCAGTGCTCTTCCCGGGAGTTCCAATGCGCTAGCGGAGAGTGCATCCATAGCACCTGGAAGTGTGATGGAGAGAACGACTGCCTCGATCGATCAGATGAAGCAGACTGTGGTGAGACTACCTTTAAAATTAAATRGATTTCAAACTACGGTCACATGTTGGTCTAAATATGTTGATATTTCTCTATTCTACTGAAAGTTRTTGTTAGTGATGTGTGAAAACATTTAATTACATTAAAAACTGTTCATGTTTATTACATTTTTCACTTAAGCCCATTASCATTTTGTTACTGACGCAATGCAGTTTAGGGATGATGATGATAGGTTGCAGCAACACTAAAACAGAGTCATGGTTAAATAGCTATAATATGTGACATTAAATTGATATTATCCACAAAACGTCAGTTTAAATGATCAAACGTGATGTTTGGTAAATTAGTTCTGGAGCTAGCACCACATATTTATTAGCTTGGGGCTAAATTTCTACATTTTCCTCTTTGTCAGTGCATTTCCCTTGAATTTAAAAAGGCTGATCATCAGACATTACCCAAAATTAACATTCTTGCTGAATGAATTTTGCGCCGTAGCTGCAGTAAGCGTCTACCAGAGATGGGGATTCGTGACTCGGACTTGGACTTGAGTTGCACTTAAGTCCCTACTATTAGAGACTTAGACTTGACTTGAACTTGGACCCTAAAGACTTGAGACTTGAATTGGACTTGTGGTTTGAGACTTGTGAACAACGCAAGTCTTTTCACCGTCCTGCTCATGATTCTCACTCCCTCAATACACCTCCATGCTCATCTCCTTTGAGAACAAATACATAAAGTTTTAAGAGCAAAGACGTTTACTCCTGCTCTCATATTGAAAATATACGTTCTTGATTAATGTCTGAATAATTCTTCCATACGCTCCGCTCCCCYTCACCTGAGAATGGGAGGGGCCAGCGCCATCCAATGTAATGATGCGTACCCCACRTGATAAACAGAGCTTCAGAATGGCAGGAGGTTGCAGTATGTTCATTATAAGCTTTGCTTACAGAGACTTTATTCAACGCYGTGAAAATAGACTGGCAAAATGCAAAGTGTGTGGAGTCCAAATCTAAAATTAGTTTTTGTGATGACTTGTGCAGCCCTTTTACTTTAAGGATTCTGGTTCATCATCTTCACTGACATGCTTTTATGCATTTAAAAATGTTTTTTCTGGTATTTTATTGTGAAATCAGCAGCAGTCTTGTTGGATTTGTTCTTTGTCAATGGCAAGATATAATTACAGTAAGAC